CAAGGAGAAGGGCCTGGAAGGAAGGAAAGGGTCCATCCACTGTGGTCCCAACACGGGGTGATTCTACCAGTGCCGTGGCATGAGAGCTGTCGTTGGACCTGTGGCCACCATCCTCCTCCTCAGCTCATCCCTGGGGATGGCAGCAGCCCGTGCTATCTCTCATCTCTGCCTGGGAAATCAGAGAGATCCTTCTGCCAAGGAAATTCAAAGGAGAGAAGTGACAAACTTTCCTTTTGCTCTCTCTTTTTTTTTTTTTTTTTTTAATTTCTTTTTGGAAAAGCTTTGGAGAAATTTAAGAAAGGGCTGTCTCAGCAACTTCCCTTCTGCTTCATCACTCTGAGCACTGCAACATCATCAAATTAGTCAAAAGAAAACAGTGGTGCCTCTCATTTCTCCAAACAGCCAGATGCTCTTTCCGAGGGGAGGCAGCATCCGAGGCTCTTGCACCAGGGGGGCAGGGCAGGATTCCTCTTTCCTTTTTTAAGTATCAGATTTTGCTTTCGGAACAGAAAACAACTTCAAAAATGGTCCCTTTCCCTGAAACCTGGTCTGGATCCAAGAGATCTGGCTGATGGTATTTAATAGATGTGGCAGCAGGACTGCTCAGAGAGGGATCTCTGGATCCTGGATGCGGCCTTTGGGAGAGTTCAGCCAATCCATGGCCTCCAAGGACACATCTTCAGCACTGCTGCCAGTTCCTCAGGGACATTAAAGTGCCCATTTAAAAAATCTCATGGAATGCTTTGGGTTGGAAGGGAGCTTTAAGGTCTCCTTCCACCTCCTGCCATGAGCAGGGACACCTCCTGCTATCCCAGGTTGCTCCAAGCCCTGTCCAAACTGTCCAGGATTTCTCCAAAGGCTGCCAGGAGCCAAGGGCCAGCTCCACTCACCCTGTGAAGCTCCCAAGGCAGATCCCTGGGAATGCTCAGCCTGGCTGCCTCCAAACACCCCTCGAGGGAACTGCACCCTCCCCACTGCCCACCAGAACAGCCCTTGGGGTTCTCCTGCTGCTGAAGTGCTTTTGGGAACATCATCCAGAGGAGGTTGAGCCCAGGCACGGTGTCTGCCGCTGTCCTGGAGCTGTGAGTGGCATCCTGGATGTGTCAGGTCACCCCTGTGCCTCTGCTGGGGGCTGGAGAAGCCACATCAGGAGAGGAAAACAACTTACCCCAAACACCCTGTTCCTGCCCGGGCTCACAAACAAGGCAATTACAAGAAAGGGGCAGGAAATATTTGTAAAATGAAACCATTGATTGTTTTTATTTTTTTCCCCCCCATCTGCGCTAGGACTGGGGTGAGGCTCTGGCTGCTCTGAAAGGGCTTTTCTCTCCTTGTCTCTCTCTCCAAAAGACAGAACCGGATACTTCTGGGCGGCCTCATCCGGGGGGAGGTCTGTGCTGGCCCAGGACACGCACCCGGAGCTGCACCGGGAGGGAGGGAGGGAGGGATCCCCTGTTCGGACTCCAAGCCCCGGGAGGGAGAGAGGGATCCTCTGCCTGACCCTGAGCTCCGGGAGGGAGGGAAGGATCCCCTGTCCGGACCCTGAGCTCTGAGACGGAGGGAAGGATCCCCTGCCCGACCCCGAGCTCTGGGAGGGAGAGAGGGATCCCCTGTCCGGACCCTGAGCTCCTGGAGAGAGAAAGGGATCCCCTGCCCCGATCCCGAGCTCCGGGAGGGAGAGAGAGGGATCCCCTGTCCGACCCTGAGCTCTGGGAGGGAGAGAGGGATCCCCTGTCCGGACCCCGAGCCCCGGGAGGGAGGGAAGGATCCCTGCCCGACCCCGAGCTCCGGGAAGGAGAGAGGGATCCCCTGCCCGACCCCGTGGCACAGCACCGGCGTGGAGGCGAGGGATGCACCCCCGGGGCTGGTCTAATGGCTCTGTGGCAGCCACGCTTGGCTGCGCTTTTCCAGCAGAGGCTGAGGGTGAGGCAGCACCGCCCTGCCGTGCTCACACAGCCGTGAGTCCGTCAAGAATAGCAACACACCACCCGCTCCTGCCACACTTGCAAACACGCGATGGGATGTGGAGCGTTTGCTCCTGAGCATCCGACCCGGAATGGCCACCTGGAACTCATTGCTCCTTGGGAAGGGGCATAGAATTCTAGAATTCTAGAATTATAGAATCATAGAACATGCTGAGATGGAAGGGATCACAAGGATCATCCAGTCCAACTCCTGGCTCTGCACAGACACCCCAACAACTCCACCCTGTCCCTGAGAGCGTTGTCCAAACCCTCCTGGAGCTCTGCCAGCCTTGGGGCTGTGCCCACTGCCCTGGGGAGCCTGGGCAGTGCCCAACCACCCTCTGGGGAAGAGCCTTTTCCTGAGATCCAACCTGACCCTCCCCTGGCACAACTTCGTGCTGTTTCCTCGAGTCACAGAATCCCAGAATCCCAGAACATGCTGAGTTGGAAGAGTCCCACAAGGATCATCCAGTCCAACCCCTGGCCCTGCACAGGCCCAGCCCCAAGAGTCACTCCCTGTGCCCCAGAGGATCATCCAAACCCTCCTGGAGCTCTGGCAGCCTTGAGGCTGTGCCCACTGCCCTGGGGAGCCTGGTCACTGGTCACAGAGAGCAGAGATTGGTACCTGTCCCTCCACTGCCCCTCGTGAGGATGTTGAAGCCCTCAGTGAGGTCTCCCCTCAGTCTCCTCTTCTCCAAACCTTGAGGCCAGTGACCGGGAGCAGGTCCGACTCTCCTGACTGAGGGATCCCTCTCCAAGCTTCCCTTGTGCCAGCACTGGGCTTGCAAACACCTCTCTGGAAGCAGCAGGTCGAGCCAGGTGCCTGCAGGTGTATCCTCAGCACCATTCTGGAGGTGCCTGTGGGATCTGTGGCACGCTGGGGTCTCTCTGCAGACCCCAAGCCTCTCCAGAGGTGCCTGTGGGATCTGTGGCACGCTGGGGTCTCTCTGCAGACCCCAAGCCTCTCTAGGCAAGGTTCATGCCCTTGGAGAGGCACCGTGGTCTTCTGAGAGGCAGGTTCCCTCTGCTGAGCCCCAAGCACCAGGAAAGCCAAGGGATTTCTTCCACTACCTTTTGGATTTAGGGCTTGTGTCCTGATTTTGGGCCAGTTATGAGGAGCAGCACGTTGGGGCTCATTGTGTGTGCCCGTCCCTTCGTGTGCCCAGTGGCCCTGTGTTGACCTGGCTCCACACTCCCTGGCAGGATGGGGCTCAGGGCAAGAGGGCAGGGATGTGCAGCTGGGAAATGAGTGTTCTCCAGGAGATTTAACAGCTGGCTCTGACTCAGAGGCAAGAGCCAGATTGGCTGAATTTTCATCCTGCTAATTCCCTGTCTTGCTGCTGGGGATTATCCTACATGGAGGTAGACTGGACGTGTCAAGAGACCCTAAGCTTCCCCTTTGGATGGGCTGGCACTGGGCAGAGCGGGAATTGCCTGGGTCGTGGTTGTCCCTGCCCCTGGGATCTGCTGGAAAAGCACCACCACTGTACAGCAGAGATCCAGGATCTGCTGCCTTTGGCTGTGGTGGAGCTTCTGGGATACTTCTGGATATTCTTGTGTGTTATCTGATTGAAACCATTTCATACCCTGGGAGGAGCCAAGTCACCACAGAACAGTTTTCTTGTCCTTGGGGAGGGGGGGACAGAGAAACTCCAGCGAAAACTGCCCCTATGGCACCTGTACCTCCTCATCTGTGCCAGGCTGGCCACTCTCACCCTAAGGCAGACAATGTCTGGAAGGTATCCAGGTATCTAATGAAATATTTTGGCAGCTGAACGTTGCTCTGTAAAGGCAGGAAAATTACAGAAAACGTGGAGCACGAGGAGATCCTCTTTAAGTGAAGCATTTTCCTAAAGATCCAAGCGGGGGGACGAGGAGGATCGTGAGACTGAGTTTGTTTGTCTTCCTGGGACGGTGTCAAGAGCATCATGTTGGTGTGAATTATGTCCTGAGTGCAAAGTGCCCTACTTTGGTCACTGCCCAAAACCCGCCGTCATTAATGAGAAGGCTCATTATTGACTTCAGTGGGCATCTGGAAGACTTTGAAGAACTGACAGCAGGAGCCAAACAATTGCCAGAGCGCATCACCCTGGCGGTGTGTTGAGCAAGGGCAAGGGCAGAGTGGCCACGAGCCGTGGGGCTGTGCCTGCCCTGGCCCCACACAGCCCAACCCAACCCAGCCCACGGGGTTTCTTCCCACCCGTGGCCTCGCCGGGGAGGTGGTGCCAGTGACACAGATGCCACCACCTGCCTTCTGGGACCATCACAGCTCCAAGCCCCGTTTGTTTTCCTCCTTCAGAGGGCTCGTGTGGCGCTGGTTTGGCGTCCCCTGCCCGGGTGGCGTTTCAGACGCCCCCGGGGTACGTTCCCCAGGCAAAACCTGTGCAGCAGGGTTTGTGCACCGGGAGTTCCTCTGCTCTCACTGCACGGCCCAGGGCAGCCAGTGCTGGGATACCCTCAGTCCCCAGCCCTACCCACACCCCCAGCTCCAGGGGGACAATCCACCCGTTTGCTCGACTAGAATCGCTTGCGCTCACCAGCTTTTGCAGCCATCTGTAAAGGTCAGGAAGAGGAGAGAGAGCTGTTTCCCACCTCCTGGGAACCACCTATTTGTTCTTGGGCTTTTTTTCCCTCTTCTCTGCTCATAAACACCAAGCTGCTCTGCAAACCCAGCTCGTTTTGCCGGGAGGTTTTGCAGCTGGAGTTGTGGGCAACTCCCCTTTCCTCAGCTCCGGGCTTGCTCTCACAGGGTTCCAGCCTGGTTTTCAGGGTGCAGGGGGTCTGTTGTGTAACCTGGCAGAGCCAGTGTTGGGGCAGGAGTTTCCTGTTGCCCACGAGGTGGAATTTCCATTGTGTTTGGGTTGCCCTCTCCGTGGTGATTCATCGTCTTGGCCGAGGCAGAGTTTCCTTCCTTCCCGCAGGGCAATGTGCAAGGTTTCACTCCTTTGGAAAGCAGCTGGAACAGGACCTGTCCCCGTGATCCCAGCACCCAGCTACCCTCCAGTCCACTGACCCAAATGGTTTTTAACCCTCCAGTTTCAGGGAAGGGGAAAACAATCCTCAGAAAGCTTTCCCGGCTCGGATGGAGAACGATCGTGTCCTGGGCGACCTGTGGGGGAAGAGCAACGTGCCCATGGTCCTGAACAACCCCTACTCCGAAGCAGAGCAGGTAAGAGACCATGGCTTGTGCTGCTTTGGGTGGGAAGGGGGGTTTGGGGGCATGTGACCCATCCTGGTGAGCTCTCACCCCACGGAGAACCCGCGCTGGTGGGGCGCAGACCCCGTGGGTCAGACAGGGTATGTAGGTCACTGGAGAATGATGCTCTCCATCCAAGAGCTGACGTGGGATGGGAGCACAGCCAGGGACCAGGACTGTGAAACCTCCCTGGGGAATGTGATCCCTTTTGGTGGCAAACGGCCAAGTTGCATCATTAAAGTCGTTTTGATTCCCAGGAGGGTAATTCAATAGAGCACTTCAGATAATACGTGGTACACGGCGCCTTTTCATCTCCTCACACTCCACGGACATAAATTCTCAGGCTTCCTTGCCAAAAGGAGATTAACTCCACGCTTGTAGCAAAGCCAGAGACGTAAGGCAGACCCTGCCAGGCCACAAGATCACCTCAGGGAAAACATGACGTGGGTGAGCCCTGCCAAGCCTGCTCAGGCAAACGTGTCTCCCTGATGGGATTAACCAGCAGCAAGGCAGGACATGGGGGATCAGGCTCGGGACCATCTTGTTACACCCCCTGCCATGGGCAGGGACACCTTCCACTAGCCCAGGTTGCTCCAAGCCCCGTCCAGTCTGGCCTTGGACACTCCCAGGGATCCAGGGGCAGCCACAGCTTCTCTGGGCAACCTGTGCCAGGGCCTCATCACCCTCACAGCCAACAATTCCTTCCCAATATCCCATCTCTCCCTGCCCTCTGGCAGTGGGAAGCCATTCCCTGTGTCCTGTCCCTCCATCCCTTGTCCCTCTCCAGCTCTCCTGGAGCCCCTTTAGGCCCTGCAAGGGGCTCTCAGCTCTCCCTGGAGCCTTCTCTTCTCCAGGTGAACCCCCCCAGCTCTCCCAGCCTGGCTCCAGAGCAGAGGGGTTCCAGCCCTGGCAGCATCTCCGGGGCCTCCTCTGGACTCTCTCCAGCAGCTCCACGTCCTCCCTGTGCTGGGATCCCAGAGCTGGACACAGTTCTCCTGGGACTCCTGCATGGATCTGTGTCCCCACTGCAGCCTCACAGTGCCAAAACCCCACAGGACATGTGAGACCCACCGTGCTGGTGCTGGAGCACACACAGGGCACCTGAGATGCTCCTGACCACACCAGCCTTGCTGTATGATTTTAACCAAACTGGTTGGGTGCTGAGATGCAGCTGGGACCGATTCCACCCTCCCCCTGCCTGGCTGTGGCTCAGGATTGAGGTGAGGTGTCCCAGCAGCACAGCCAACCTCACAGTGGGTGTCACCTACACCCCAATGGGGCCATCCACGGGCTCTGTTCTGCCACTGCAGGGATGTCCCTGGGCAGCCCCCTGTCCCACCACATGGTTCATGCACTGGGGCAGGTCTCAGAAGCCCATCTCACCCAGGCACAGGTCACAGCTCTGCTCCCTTTGCCCCAGCTCTGGAAAGACTCTCCTTCTGCCTCCTTTGCTAAGCTCCTCGCGGGTACGTGTCTGTTACTATAAGCACTTTATAACCTTCTGTGTTCAGAGCTTAATTTCTCTCCATGTTAGAGCTGCCAAAACCTCCAGTCTTAAGCTGCTATTAAACTCTTTATTATTTTTTTTTTTTTTTGCACTAGATGCACAGCTTTCTTTTTTATCCTTCTTATCCCCAGGTCGTTACGCCTGCTCTTCTGGGAGCAGTTTGGTTTCCCCCACACACACACACCGTGCTCCCTGCAGCCTGTTCCCCAGGGGCTGTGTGTGTGTGCTCAGGGCAACTCAACTTCTTCCAGGCAGCAATAAATACCATTAACACAGGGCAAAGCCAAACTGAGTGGGAGCTTTCTCCACACCTTGCTCTTCAAAGCGGGGTTTGGTGGATTCTCTTGGCCAGGTGGTGAATGCTCACCCAGGCTCCTAATGAGGTGCTGAGAGACCTGCTGGGCATCGATCCCCGGCCCTCCTTTGTTTTTTGCAAGGTCATGCAGCGTGTTTTTCGCTTGTTTCCCAGGAGCCCAATCCCCCTGACCCTACAGTGACTGATGGAAAGGTGTTGTAGCTGCGCCAGGCCCTGTTTCAGCCCGTGTGGATTGATTTGTTTTTAGTAGCTCCAGGTAACGGGGAGGTTTGTGTCCGTGTAGCTCTCAGGAGAAGGGAGTCATATCAGCTCTGTGCTTGTGAGGGTGATTTACAGCTTTATAAAAGCAAAAAAAACACCCACACTTTCAGTGAGCAAAGCCTGGAAGGAAATGTCAGCATGGCCATATATCTCTGACCTGGGCTTGTGCTGCAGTCTTCATCACAGAACCACAGGATCTGCTGAGCTGGGAGGGACCCACAAGGATCATGCAGTCCAACCCTCAGCCCTGCACAGGCCCATCCCCAGGGCTCACCCCCTGTGCCCCAGAGGATCATCCAAACCCTCCTGGAGCTCTGGCAGCCTTGGGGCTGTGCCCACTGCCCTGGGGAGCCTGGTCAGTGCCCAGCCAGCCTCTGGGGGAAGAACCTTTTCCTGAGATCCAACCTGAGCCTGCCCTGGCACAGCTCCAGCCATTCCCTGGCTGCTGTCCCTGGTCCCCCCAGAGCAGAGCTCAGTCCCTGCCCCTCCTCTGCCCCTGCCCAGGCACTTGGAACTGCACTGAGGTCTCCCCTCAGTCTCCTCTGCTCCAGCTCAACACACCAAGTGCCCTCAGTGTCCTCACACGTCTTCAAATCAAGGCCCTTCCCCATCTTCATTACCCTCCTTTGGCCTCTGGCTTAATATTTTTCTCACACTGCAGTGCCCAAAACTGCCACAACCTTCCAGGTGAGGCCTCCCCAGTGCAGAGCAGAGTGGGACAATCCCCTCCCTTGCCCAGCTGGTGACACTTTACCCGCTGCCCCCAGCCCGGGAGTTCCAGCAGGGAACCAGCACAGGGCGCAGGAAGGGTGAGGACCCATAGATCCCACTCAGATCCCAAAAGGGGAGATGCTCCCAATCACTCTGGCCCCAAGGAGCACCCAGGCCTGCATTCCTGCTGTCTCCAGACAGCTCAGGGGCTGCGTGCTGCCAACAAGTGCCACCGCACTCCCTGCCAAAGGTGTTTGCATAACGCGAGTGCGCCCCGACTGCTGCGTTCGACTCTCCAGTTTGTGCCAGCCTTGAGTCACTAATATCACAGCTGCCTAATTAGAACATGAAAGGATCTCACACAGCCTCCCTGACAGAACGAGGGGTAATATTTGGCTTCAGCTTTGCCGTGTGGGGAAGGAACACACACACACACAGACACAGACACACAGACACAGACACACACACACACACAGACACACACACAGACACAGACACACACAGACACACAGACACACACACAGACACAGACACACACACACACACAGACACACACACACAGACACACACACACACACAGAGCTGCTTCCCCGTCTCTTCTGCGTGTCTCTCTCTCCACAGCTGCTCTGTGGTGTGCTTGGCAGACCTGACACCTCTGCTTCTTGGAGGTGGTGTTGCCTTGGATGCTCCAGCCTGGCTGGCATCCCAGGATTTCGGCATCCCTCTGCTCCGGGGCCCTCTCTCAGCACAGGCTGAAAGGGTTGTCAGGCACTGGAAGAGGCTGCTGGAGTCCCCATCCCCCTGGGGGTGTCCAAGGAACAACTGGACGTGGCACTCAGTGCTCTGGTCTGGTTGACAAGGCAGTGTGGTGACAGGTCGGACTCGACAATCTTGGAGGTCTTTTCCAGCCTTAATGTTTCTGTGACTCCAAGATTCGAGCTTTCCCAGATCGTGCAGGGAAAAAAGACAAACAGGAAAGGGAGCAGCTTTGAGGGAGCCCAGGGTAGAACATCTGTAGGCAGATGTTAAGCAGCCAGTGTCCTCCAGCTCGCTCGCTCCAAGGGTCATGGCTACACCTGGATTCATGGCACAAATCCCCCTGGATTGTTGGGCCACCCCTGCTCTGCCAAGATGTTGTTTAGCAGCACACCTTGTCAGGAAATCAAGCCTAGCTGGGATTTAAACAATCAACACTTCCCACCCGGTGCTCCCGATTTCTGTCTGGCGGGTGGAGGAGCAGGTGAGGATTGGTGGTTTCAGTTGCATTTCTGAGCAGCACCTTTCAGCTTCGTTTGACCAGTCTCACAGAGCTGCTCTGAGCAATCAGGCTCGGAAGGAAGGTGGCAGATTGTTCCCCTCGGCTCTCAGGGTGGTTCAGAGAGCACAGGATGCTCTTAGTGGCTAAAGAATGATTTAATTCCCTTGAAAGAGTAAAACAAGCAAGGGGAAGAAAAATTCAGGGCGGATTCCCTAAAGCTGAAAAAAATTAACTTAAAAATTGTGCTTTTCCAGGGCTACATTTTGGTGGTTCTTTTTATTTACTGCTGGTTTCGAGCTCTGCGTGGTTCTCATGTTTGGTTTTTGCAGCATGGGAAGGGGAGGCTGAGATCCAGTGTTTGGTCACTTGGCTTCAGGGGCTTTGAAACTCTCCTTGGGAAGACCACAGGATTTGTGACATGAGGAATGCCACAGAGATCCGTGGCAGCACAGCCCAAAGGGGTCAGGCTGTAAATCTCTCCCTGCCCCTCCAGCCTCTATCCCTTGTTCCCAGCATGTGCTTTCAGTGCATGGTATCACACTGTGAGCCTTGACTGTAAAATCCCTGTTTGCCAGGGAAAAAAAGTGTCTGGACCATATGGTAAAAACAAGGACTGGGCAAAAACTGTGGCCAACAGTGCCACCAGGGCAGTGCAGAGGTGTCTGCCCAGCACAGCCCTCAGTGATCAGTCGGGCATGGATCTCTCCCTGCTTTGGAAAAGCAGAGCAATCCTCTGTCTGGCAAAGCAGGAACCAGTCAGATCTGGACCCTCACCTGCTTTGTCATCCTCGTGGCCCCTGTTTCTTTCCCTCCTGAACCAAGAGCTTCTTCCACCCTGTGTTGGCTCTTCTTTGGTTGCTCTTCCAGTGCTATTGCTGCCAGTGCAACTGTGACATGGGCCCAGAACCCCCCAAAAGGAGGGTGAGACTCTGCACAGCTCTGCTGAGGGCAGTGTCACCTCCAAAAAAACCCTCACAGATGGACTGGAAAGGGACACCAGCCACGGGATTCATGTAGGAAGGGTACAGCAAACTTGGTCCAGGCTCAGGGATAATTTGCAGAGATTTAATCCTGAAGTGGTGCCAAATACAAACAGGGTTTGCCAGGATGCTCTGGGGTGGAACAGATCTCCCCCTGAGACCTGCAGCAACAGTGTTGTGGTCACAGTGATGGAATTACATCCTACTGCAAGATTTGATTCCGAGGAGAAACATCCCTGCTTTCCAGAGCTCCCTGTCCCATGGCACGCTGGCAGACACCGAGTGCTCTTTAAGCTTCTAAGTGCTTGGGGTGAATAAGGGCCACCGAAGAAAATTCAGATTTTATCAGTGAAAACACTCAAAAGAGAAGCACTTGTAACCAGTTCTTCTCCTCACAAGCTCTGTGCTGGCTGAGACTCTCCTCCTGTTGGCACAGAACTCCTGAAGTGCTGGATGAGCACACCCAGCAGAGCACCAGGGAGGGCTGGAGGCTCGGAGCTGAGCTGAGCTGTCCAACCATGCGTGAGTCAGCATGGTAATTTATCCATCCTTACTCCTAGGATCTTCCAGCGTTGCTATCAAAGGAGAAGTGCCTTTGGCTTGCTCAGAGGAATGACCAGCTGTTAGCTCTGTCTCACAGTGCTCCGACCAGTGAGGCAGAACTTGGGCAGGTGATGCTCCTTGGAAAGGAACACCCAATCCAGTGTAGAGATCTTCCACAAGGCATTCTTTTAAGCCAGTTCTACCCCTGTTTTTACCTCCTCTTCTGCAGGTTTGGCTGTCCCATAACCTGACATGACTTCTCAGTTGCATTAAGAGTTGGCTGCCCCATTGTAGGATCCCAAAAAAATGACAAATATTTGGACAACACACCTCATCTCGCGATGCTACCACTGGAATTTAAGCACGGGCATCCTCTAACACAAGATGCTGCCTGTTGTTGTGACCTTTCCCTGTGTCTCACCTTGTTCCTGGTGTTCCCTGTTGTCCAGCCACCTCCATCCGGGCGTCAGTCCCCGACCAAGAACACGGCCAACGGGAGCCCTTCCAAATGCCCGCGGTTCGTGAAGATCAAGAACTGGGAGACGGGCTCTGTGCTCCACGACACCCTGCACCTCAAGACTGCCATGGTGAGTGGAGCTGATGGGACTGGCCAGAAGCTGTCTGAGCACAGCTGAGTGGGTCACGGCGTTCCCGAGGTGGTTTTACCCCCAAATGCAGAAGGGGATGAATTCAGGTCAGTCCAGTCTCCAGGAGGGTTGGAATTTTAAACCTCTGGTGCAATGAGCTGGGGGAGAGGGAATTCCACCTGGGATAAATAAGGAAAAGCGTTTGACTTCACGCCAAGCCAGGATAAGAATCCCATGAGCCCTGATCATCCGTATGGGATGGGAGCAGAGCTGACTGCACGTGGCTGAGCTGTCTCACACAGCCTTAACAACAGGGGTGGAGACAAATAGGCTGGAAATGACCCTGTTGGCCAAAGATACCACCAACCTCTGCGTAGGAATCACTGACTTCCCCCAGCCCAGCTCAGGCAACGAGGAGTGCTGCAGTGACCCCAGACTCACGTGTCCCCTCCTGTCCTGCCAGGCCACCGCCTGCACCGAGCAGATCTGCATGGGCTCAGTGATGACCCCCAGCCCTCACATCCGCAAGTCAGAGGACACCAGGACAAAGGAGGAGGTGCTCCTGTTGGCCAAGGACTTCATTGACCAGTACTACTCCTCCATAAAGAGGTAAGGACTGGCTGGAGAAGGTCACAGCCCGAGGCTGCTGCTTCTGCTGAGGTGTCATATGGGACACCTCAATCTCTACATTCAGCTGTGGGATCCCCAGCACAGGGAGGACACGGAGCTGTTGGAGAGAGTCCAGAGGAGGCAACAGTATGATTAGAGGGCTGGAGCAGCTCTCCTCTGAGGAAAGGCTGAGAGAATTGGGATTGTTGAGCCTGGAGAAGAGAAAGCTTCTGGGTGACCTCCCAGTACCTGAAGGGAGCTACAAGAAAGACGGAGAGAGATTATTTGCAGGGGGCCTGGAGTGACAGGACAAGGTGAAATGGCTTCAAACTGACAGAGTAGGTTTAGATTAGATATTAGGAAAAAATTCACCCCTGTGAGGGTGGGGAGGCCCTGGCACAGGTTGCCCAAATAAGCTGTGGCTGCCTTTTGATCCCTGGAAGTGTCCAAGGCCAGGTTGGACAGGGCTTGGAGCAGCCTGGGCCCACGGCAGGGGGTTGGAATGAGATGATCTTTAAGGTCCCTTCCAACCCAAACCATTCTGGGATTCAATGATTCCATGGTCCAGTCTTTCACACCTGTGAGTCAAAGCAGGGTGAGACTCGGGTGCCCCACGAGCAGCTGCTTCTTCAGTGGAGTTTCATTCATAGTGTTTGGTTTTGCTGTGTGTCTGTGCCAACCATTGACCTCTCCCACTTGTCCTTGGTCATCTCTTACCTGAAAGCACACACACACGTGTGTGTGTGTGTGTGTGTCTATGTCTGTGTGTGTGTCTGTGTGTGTGTCTGTGTGTGTGTCTGTGTGTGTGTGTGTCTCTGTGTGTCT